ATCAGCAGCAACTTGACGCCCAACGGTACAACCTTCGCCATCGATTCGTCATTTATCAACCAGGAGATAGAGTCTGGGTTTGGTTTCCTGTACGACGACGAGGCCTCTCAGAGAAACTTCTACGCCGATACTTCGGACCTTACAAGGTTCTGCGTCGTCTTAGCGACGTGACGTACGAAGTCGTGCCCGACGCCTCCTCCTGTTCAAAACGTCGCCAGCGTCTGCCTGAGACAGTGCACGTGGTCCGCATGAAACTTTACCACTCTCAGTGATATAAACACTCGATGGCCGCATCTCTACCTGTTGAGCGTCGGGACGACGCTCACTCTGGCGGGAGGGTAATGCTGCGTGCATAGCTGCATTTAGCGGCGAGATAGCGACGACAACGAAGAACGCGGATTCGCTCGAGAGGCGCAGCGCAGCAGAGTGAAGAAGAGGACAATCTTAGTGGCCTTCTCCGAGAGCGTCTCTACAAGTCCTACTGTCCGTGTTTTTAAATAAACCCCCCTGTCATTTATAACCCGCGACAATATGATACCGTGGAGCACTGTATTTTAATAGATCGATTAGAATACATCGATTTTCCATCATACATAGTAGCGTGGGTTCACAATTTCCTTGAAGACAAGAAATTTTATTGTTTTAAATATGGGTTTTCATCGTCTACTCATACCCAAACGAGGGGAGTACCGCAAGGCTCAGTGCTTTCCCCAGTGCTATTTATTTACTAATGAGCACCATTCCACGTAAACAGGACATAACTTATGCTTATGCAGACGATATCGCGTTTTTCGCAATGGCAGATAACATTCAGACCTTATATGATCGGCTGCAGACTTACCTTAATATATTGGAGAGCTGGCTCGATGGCAACTGCTTTCTACTTAATCCGAGTAAATGTGCCCTCCGTGTTTTCCCGCTGCAATACCCGGTACACATCTCTCTGTCTTACCATCATGAGGATATACCACCGGTGGAATCTGTTAAAAACCTTGGAGTAATTCATCACACATCGCTTAACTGGCGACCTCATATTGAATATATCGCCGGAAAAAGTGTACGTGCCATTGGCATATTGCGTAGGCTAAGCAACTACCGCAGAGGTTATGAGAAGAGACACACTGGTAATGATATATCGCATGCACATTCGTCCTATTTTAGAATTTGGTTGTGTACTTTTCTCTGGAGTTCCAGCTTACAAGTTGTGGCCTCTTGTTCTTATGAAAAGAGAAGCTTTCCGCTTATGCCTTGGCCTGCCTAAAACAGTTGCTAACAATGTGTTCTATCTCGAATTGAGGGTCCCTCCTCATTCCTGTAGAATTCGCCTTCTGACTTTTCAGACATTCTTAAGAACTTATGAATCACTATTGCGACATTCAGAAACAGCCTTTATTTCCACCCCGGAATTATTTTTCGATGCTAGATGGCCACGATTTGACACTCCACAAATTATATTTGTACAAAATTTACTGGAGCCTCTAAACGTACGTATATGTCATATGACGAGTCGTGATAATGCGTACCCTGTGGAAATTTAATTTGACAATATTTTTTCCTGATAACGTCAAATTACTTCGCCATAATATTTTGGACGGTTTACTACAAGATCACCAGCGCAGCATTACAACAAACGTTATTATTGCTGCAGACGCATTGCAATGTGGCGAAAAGTCAGGCGTTGGTTTTTCAGCCCGATTTTAGATTGGATTTATTTTCTTCGACTACCCGATTTCCTACCCATTTTTTGGCTGAATTTTTGACAGTAGTGCTCGCGTTGCGCAAGTTAAATACAGCAATTACATCAGCTGTCATAATAACAGATTCCCTATCTCTCTGTGCGGCACTTTCTGTTGGTGCTGATAATCACGTAACTAAGGCGTTCCGTGCACTAGTACCTGCGCATTTGAGAAAAGTACGATTAGTTTGGGTGCCTGTACATAAACCTTTGTTACTAAATGAAATAGCCGATTCCTTAGCTAAGTCGTCAATTAGCGAACCAATTCTATTGCACTGTCCATCATCCGCTTATTTGACTGCTGCTAGATTCTGCAGGCGTACGCTTATGGAAGTCTTTAGAGGTACATCACTAACAAACTCTACAGAATATCGCCATTTATTATATCCGTGGCGAAGAGACTTTTGTCGCACTCGTAAACAAGAAGTAGTTATCACAAGGCTGCGTTGCCGGTCACCAAATCTAAATTTCTATAAACATAGGTCTGCTCAGGCACCTTCGCCACTGTGCGCGTTCTGTGATGAACTTGAAACAATAGATCATTTTTTTGACCTGCAGGTGGTTTGACACATTACGTAAAACCCCTTTAGAAATACCTTTACGTGGTGTTGGTATTGATTTATCTGTGCCTGTCACTTCGTCTCTTGGAGCTTCTATTTCCGGTTTCTCTAATGCGATAGTGTGCGCGGCCGTCCAGGACAATATTGATTAAACTAATATGTTGACTAATTAACCTTTTTCATTATCCTAACATGTCCACAAAAT